TTTCATGAATCTGTCCGCCCGTAATTTCGTCTTCAATGAGGACTAAACAACCTTTAATCGAAACAGCCAATGATGCAGTGGTGAGAGAGTAAATAAAGTTCTTCACGCCCACCATCAACCAAACTGCTGAGATTAGTTTTTCGTTCCCGCTCTCGTATGTTTCGCAAATCGTGACAAAACTATGTCGCGGTTCTTCGGAGCCTTACAAGAATTGTAAATTAGGGATGATTTATTGGGCGTGTTCAGTAGCGGCTCCCTCAGCTCCGAACGGAGTCACTCGAGTCGGAATTCTCAGAGCGCCTACTGAACGGCCAAAAAAACCGCGGCTCCAAACCTGCTTCTACGCTATTTCCGCTTCCTCCCCTGTGCCAGACGGTCTCCGAATAAACTGGAAGCAGACGATAGCGAGCACGATCGCTTTTATTTGACACCGGTATTCATAAAGTCTTGACAAGGTCGTTAAATAAAAAGCGAGTCACTGTACACATCAGCGCTGCTGTTCGAAGCGATCCAACGCGATCAAGCACTTCACTTGGCGGTGCAAAGGCAGCTACTGTTATAAAAACCGACAAAATGTCGTCAGCGGACGCAAAATATGGAGCTCGGCAAATCTACGCCGCCGGTTGCGATACTTTTATATGGCCATACGTCTGTTCTGCCCTTCGCAACAAACTTCCTATAAAATGTACTCGTATACACACCGGGAAGTTCGGCTGCGCTCGGCGATCTAGGTTTTGTCGGCCAAGGCGAGCGTCGGCCAACGTGCACCCCGATTTAGCTATGCAAACAAAACCTTAATCGGGATCATGCTCTGTGTGAGTGTCCAACTGGCTACCGAATTCGCATTCATAGCCTGCCTTGCTCTGTTCAGCACGGACAGGATTTTCGTCGATATTCACCGAGTTTCAGAGCAACGGCGATCAAGACATGCCGTCCAGTGAACGTTTACATTGTTTATTAGCATATTCAAACCCAACAAAATACGGTCCAATGCATTTTCCGAAAAAGCCTTACCTGAAAAGAAATTCAAAGAAAATGTGTGAATGAGTCAGCGCCTAAGAAGGAGCGCTGACTCTTGACTCCTGGAGCCGCTACTGAACGCGCCCATTGAGATGATGTGCAGTCTACTTGGTTTAAAAAACATCCCATCCACCAGTGGAGTCAGTGCCTCATTCACACAATCATCAAGCTATAAGTGAATCTTTGTGCATGCCTAATTGGGCATTTGGGATTTACAGACACACATCACATGCTGCAATGAAGTTGTCTCCTGCTAAGTCATGTTTGGACATAAACAGGGGACTTGTCTGGACAATGATCATAGTGCAGGAAGGACTATCTGCAACTCGAGCTGGGCATATGGCACCAAGTGTTCTAAATTCTAACCAACCCAGTGACAGTCTTGCGCCAATTTTTTTTTTTTTGCTTCAAGATTCCTGGTTGCTTGGCGAATAAAGCCTAAAGTTGTCAAATGAGGGCTGGAGGGCATGTGCTTGGAGATGAGAATAGGCCAATTTAATAAAACTGTTTCGCTTCTGGTTCGTAATTTTCAAACGGATTGGTACACACTTAACGTTCGGGCATGTAGGTTTTGAGCAGATTGGTGTACACTTTCTGCCGTTTGTCATATTGTTTTACGCGAAAGCGAATCTTTGCTAGTGTCTATTTTTGTTCTGGTGAGCCTCAGAATCACGGCCCCAAGTGGCTTCTTCAACGACGGAACTCTGGAAGCACGATCAGGGATATCTCTCGAGTCATGTAAACCTTCATTTACTCTGTTTTTATCCCCATCGTAGAAGCTTTGGGCACGTCTACCGGAGCCATCTTGGTCATCTGCTAACTTGCTAGCATGTATTAACTCTGAATGAAGGATGAAGGCTGGTAATATTTAAAATTGGGTGCTGGCCTTTGCTTCTTTATGTTGCTGAGAAATACGGCAAGTGCAGTTGATCAAAATGCTAAAGTAGAGCAAGGAGAAAACATATGGCCTTCATTGCCTCTGCCCATTGAAAAAGCATAGAACGGCTGCGCACCAAGATGGATGTCGGCCGGATTTTGAATTGAAATGGTACACGTGAAACCACCCTATACACAGAGTAGGTAGAAAGCCAAACTAGTTTCAGAGGGAGACTGTGTACAAATGACACTTGCCATGCACCTACCAGAAGGAATAACGAGTTTGAGGGTTGGGCTAATTGGTAGTTGTTAAACATAATGAGATAAAACGGCGCAAAAAGTCATAAAAGGAAGCGACGGACAGGACAGAGCGCTGACTTGCTGCAGTGTTCAAGGTACGAGAGATTACTGTGTTTCTAGTTTCTAACAAAATTTATCCTATCAGCTGCTTTCAGAAACACAGGCAGAGGATGTCCCGTCAGACGACATGAGGGACGACACATCCGACGAGACGTCCCAGGAGCTGCCTGGTGCGAGTACCAGCGAACTGCCTGGTGCAAGTACCGGCGAGCTGCCTGGTGCGAGCACCAGCAAATCTAGGAGCGGCCACAATGCTGGCAGCAGCAACCCTGCTGGCCGTGGAAAGAAGGCCGGTGGTGCCAGTAATGGCACAACTATCATGTTGCCGCAGGTGCCAGAGTCAGGAAAAAGGAAAAGACCCCCGCACCCCTCTGCCACCCTCGCAAAGGCGGTAATTGAGGAGCAAAAGTTGCTCCGTTTAAGTTTGGAAACGGCTCGGGGCCGTGAGTTCACTCTGCGGGAGCAGGAGCTCAAAATTCAAGAAAAAGCACTGGCCGTGCAAGAAAAGCTTGCGAATGCCATGATGGCCTTTTTCAATAAAACAGGCTAGAGCGGAAGCTGTAGCTTCAAAAAAGTGGTGCTGCTTTTTTTTTTTGTTTGTTTTTCTTTGCTGACAAATTATTTTGGGCTTACCAGGGAAGTAACATCATCTTAAAACCACAAATAACAAGTTTAGAACAGATAGTGCTTGCATGACATTACAACAGTGACAGCAACAATGGGTATTTATTCACCACAGCTGGGATCCAAAGATACACAGGTCCACATTCCGAAGGTGGACAGTAAATAAGAGTGTGGCAACCATCGGCAAAATAGTAATCATACAATGTGAAATACAATGAACAGGCATGCTGCATAAACTAGATAGAGAAAAATTAAAAAAGAGCAAGCCACACACAAGCCTGTTAAGGCATGTTCCATCCAATTGTTGAAAACATCTTTCCAAGCCTGCAGCTGAAATGTTCCGAGACATAGCAAAAGAATTGATTACATCATCACATCAAAGCATTTAAAAGTTTACTACAACGCTTAAATCAAGTACACTCTGGAAAAGCTTTTTTTTTTCTCTCCTATACTTCTTTTTACCTTTGGAACCGCAACAAAAAAAAGTCTGACTCCTTGCAGACATTTACAAATTTTCACCCTTTATATGGTGCATCAAGATACTTTATGGGAGTTTGTGGTTAGTCATTGTTACAATATCAAAACATGTTTCAAGCACAAACAAATTTGAAAAGAGTACATGACGGCGGACGATGCAGTGTGTAGGCTTCAGAGTGCAGCGGATGCCAGGAGCTGATGGCGCCAATCACGGCATGCAAAAGAGCAACGTTAAGGCTCTCCTCTTTCCTAGAGGGCATTCTTAGGGGCTAATCCAATCAAATGCAGCAGGAGAGAAGAGGGCGATGATGTTACGATTCTAATTCTGGGATTTTAGTAAGAACTACTTAGTGCACCTTATGAACATTGTAAAAAAAAGAACTTGGTGTTTTCTTTACATGGGAACGATAATAGAATAACTATATCAAGCAACATCCACAAGTATGAACATATGTGCCAAGGGTCTGGAAGGATTGTTTCCCTCGACAACACTGTTGTGCCACCATTGACCCTGTGCTTGAACTGAAGCAAAAGCCCGAGATATATGTCGATAAACTGAAAGTGCAAGTTTTAACTATCGTGTTCATAATTGTTTGAAACAAAGCAACTTCTTTCTTCAGCAGGGAGAATAATAAAAATAAATTGCAGGGTTTTCTCTTTAGGTTAAAAGCACTAACAAAAAAAAATTGGGGTGTCTGAATGCTTATACAGCCTAGCACTTTGTCTGCCTCAATGGGCAATTTGTCTCCCAGCTGTAGATGAGAAATTTAGCTAGTGCAGTACAACCGCTAGCCTGGGGTCTTTAAAATTCATCACGCAGTAGTGATACATGACCGCACGCCAGTACAATGCGCTCATCCACATCGAAACAGGCAGGGGTGGGGATTGAACCCAGGATCCCCCAATTCTGCAGCGTGAGCTTTTGCTCCACGTGCTCCAAGCTCGTGTGTGCTAGCCTACTCAGCCACCAATCCTCCTAAAGCTCTAACATACCAAAAAAAACATCCCTGAAAAAAGAAAATACAAAAGAGTATTTTTCAGTGCTATATTGTTCAATAGATGTCAATTGATGAATATTTCCACAACCAGAGTACAAAACCGCTCACGAGTCTCAGTATGGGAGAAATGCATGCGGATATAATCTCTTGCGGTCTAGGTCTTCGCTATCAATAAGAGCACTCAATATGCGGAGCTCTGATTAATATTGTCATTAATTTTGAAAAGAGTCTGATTCGCATTTAATTGATAATCACTATGTTGGTCAGCCACACGCAATCGCTTGCCCTTTATCGACCGTTTCACTGTTCTGAAATATCTCAAATAAAAGTGTGTGTTACGTTTTTGGATCAAGCTTTTAATATGAAAATAGAATGTGCATGATTGCAATTATTGAATTTTTGGGACGCTTCAAGCTCATAAATTAAGTTACTGCCACAGAAAGTCAATGTCAGAAAAATCATTAGATATGCAAGTTCCTTGAAACAGTCGTACTAAGTGGAGAAGCTATTACAAAAAAAAGTTTCCATTAAGAGTCTTGTTCTCCAAATATGTTGGGTAGCTGAATTACTGTATGTATGAGCAAAGTATGAAATTTGGACATAGTAATGCTGCACATACATACCGGTAAACAAACCAGCACATATGCAGGTGGCAGGGAGGGATTGACGATAAACCATGCAACTTCCGAACAAACAGTAAGGCCAGCTAGCTTCACCAAGAGGTGTGGGCATGCACAGGGCTAGTGCAGTAAGTTGGCTTCACATTTCGTTTGGAAGTTGGATGATCTTCCATCGAGTCCTTCCTGCCACTTGTACATGTGATGTCATCACTAGATTACGTTGCGTGTTGCTGCGTGTTCCGCCTATGGAGGTAGGCTGCTATGGCTGCCCTCACGTCCTGTCCATTTCCAGCGGCAACATCCGTTCTACAGAGAGGTTGCAGGAACATGCGGTCGTAGAGCTGCACCTCGGTGACCCACTGTGGCTCAACCCCATCATTGAAGTGCTCGCAGATGTTGTTGAGCACACAGCAGGCTCGGATGATGACCCTGGCATTGTCTACATGGCACTCCATTCTTTTCATTATGCAGCGAAAGCGTGCCTTCACTCTGCCAAAGGCGTTCTCTACTATCCTTCGTGCTCCCGAGAGCTGCTTGTTGAAGCTAGCTTCCGGAGAACTATCCTTTAAGCCCTTGCGCGGATAGGGCTTGAGGAGGTTTGATGTGAGAGGGAAGGCCTGATCGCACAAGATCAGTGGTGGCACAACAGCTCCATTCACAGTGACAAGCGGAGCTCGAAACAACGGTCCTTCCAAGACCTTTGCAAGCTCCGACCTGCGGAAGACGTGTGCGTCGTGGCATCGCCCTGGTGCTCCCACGTTGACATAGCGGAACCTGTAGCGGTGGTCCACCAGAGCCAGCAGAATGATGCTATACCTGAAAAAGAAGCATTGCATGCAGGCAGATTTAATTATGAAAATCCCAACACTTTGAAATGCTTCGTTTGGCTGTTTGGCACGGAGATCTTCTAATTGTTGATATCCCAAATGTTAAATGGATACAGAAACCAAAGTCTGGAGCTCATCTCTTTGCTTATGGAACTTCACCAACACCAATATTTCGTAGGATAATGCAAGAAAACATAATTTGAACTGAATACAATGATAACCAAGAACCATCTCGTGGATGTCTTGAAAGCTTCAATGGAATGTCGTGCCAATAACATGCAAGTAAAGGCCTGTTCACACCTGCAACTGAGTAGGACGGAGAGAGACAAGACCCTCTTGGCGATGGCCTAGGACAATTTACAAACCCCGCTAGAACCAGACAAGAAAACGACTGAGCCCGGAGTATAGCTGTCCGACGGCAGAAACTGTACTTCAAGCCATCATTACCGAGTGCCCCAATTATGACAGGAACAGGGACAATGTGTACACCAGACTCGCTGTCAAGAGGCAAGTTTCTACGGATAATATTGTTTCTGGTGCTATTAAAAAGATGCGAAACATCTGTCAATGCACCCTTGAATTTTTTTTGTGGTAAAGGACTCTTGCAGAATACACCAAAACAACAGAGACCCGGGGTGGGGGGGGGGGGGGGGGAGGGGAGGGAAGGGAGGGAGGGAGGGAGGAGGAGGAGGGAGGGAGGGAGGGATCAGTGGCCGAGAGGGCTAGCGCACAACAGCTCGGAGCATGTGGAGCGAAAGCTCGCGCTGCAGAACCCAGGGATCCTGGGATCCCCATCACTGCTTGTTTCGATCTGGATGAGCATCGTACTGGCGTGTGGTCATGTACTGCTACTGCGTGGTGCTTGTTAAAGACCCCAGATTAGCGATTGTACCGCACTGGCTAAATTGCTCATCTACAGCTGAGACACCAGACGCCCACTGAGGCAGGCTAACTTCCGGCTGTGTAAACAGACGACAATTTGCATACAGAGACGTATGGTTCAAGAGAGCTCTCGGGCTAAACCCTTAACTAGCCAATGACAGCACCAGCGCTAGATGCTGGCGTAACCTAGGGAAAGTTAAACACAAACAGGCCACCACCACTACATACCAGCCCTTGTAGTTGTGGTAGTCGCTTGCATTTTCTTGTGGTGGTGACACCGGGAAGTGGCACCCATCCAGCGCTCCAACTCCTTGCGGAAACTCCAACGCAGCTTGGAACTCTCGGATATGTTCCGGCAGCTCCTTTGGGGTCATCAGTTTGACCCATTCGGGCTCGAGGACAGCCACGATCGTCTCGCAAAACTCCCGGTACAGTTCATTGACTGTCGATCGGCCGATACCGAACAGGGTGGCCACCGTCCTGTCCTCGGCCGTGGAGCATAGTTTGAAGAGGGCCACTCCCACCCGCTTCTCCATCGCGATCGTCTCCCGCATGCAGGTGACTTGTCGCTCCATGTAAGGCCGGCACACATCAACAAGGTAGCGAAATGTAGCTGGCCTTACACGGAACGCCTGTTTGAAAAAGTACTCCGGCATGTTGGGCAGGGTGTCTTCGAACCATCGCTCGTGCCTCGCGAAGGACTGCACCTGCCGATGCACTGTGAGGCAGTCCACCGCTGTTGTTGCGAGCACGAAGTTATTTGCCAGCATTTGGTCCTCCAAGCGATCGGCCTCACTTTTTGCCGATGACACGGCAGCTCGGACGGCAGCCAGAGAGCTTTGCTGCTGCGCGTGCATGCATAAAAGTAGAGCGACCTGAGTCTCTGGCGGCTCTGAATGTTCCATTGTTGACACTCTCAGAAGCAAACAAATCGAGCAGACGAGGAACCGTCCTGACCGAGCAGACGAGGAATCACGGCAGCGCGAGGAACGATGGCGAGCTCAGTCGCTCAAAAGCTCAGTTGGCTCAGTTTTCGAGCGGGAACATCATTGTTGCCTTTAGAGCGGGTCATACCAGCCAGTACCACCCAAAAGTCGCTTCGCTAGCAAAAACACTGCGTGTATTTGTTGAAAAAACACTATATAAACACAATCCATAATATTTTTTACACAAATAAATGGCAATACATCAGTAATTTTGTTTTATTGAGCCATTTATTTTGATAAATGAGTGACTGCTGTCTCTAACAAATCGAAAAATACAATTGCAATAAACATCTCCTAAATGGCATTCGAGATGTTCTCCGACACGTCTGACACCCGAAAGCTTGAATGACCTTTGAGAATCTCGAAGGCCTTTGGCCTAAATGGCATTTGAGTTGACCGTCTGACAGGGGTATAAAACACTCAGTTGGGAAACTCACCTTTGAAACCCGGACCGCTGGCGTCCACCAAGACCAAACTAAATACGATAACAGCGCCACCCTTTAGCGACTAGTCAAAACATGAACGTTCATATATATCACTACTGCGAAATGGCACGGTGAGATGGCGCCACCGGCCCTTGCGCGACTTGACCTGAACCTATACGTGCAGACGTGCAGTTCCCGGAGTGGCCGCTGCGGGAGAAATGGCGGCGTTGCGATCGCCGTTAGCTCGGTTCTCGAGTACGGGTAGAAGCAACTTTTTCAAAGCAGGCTCTATGGCAGTTTCCCAACTGAGTTGTTCCAGTAACGCGGGCTCGCAATTATATAGGGCGTTTCGCACGGAAAGACGGCGCGAAAGAGTCGCCATGATTTCCAGTCGCGCGTGCGGCAAAAAAGCCTGTGGACACAACACTCACTTTAGCTGCCGTCAACACTTTTTGTTGTCGTATTTACAGCACCTGCTGTAGACAGGGTGAAGTTAGTCAACCCCAGTGGGGCCCTGGAGTGTCCGCCGTACATGTTTCACGTGCACCACTCAGTGCAACATGGACAACAGTAGAAATGTACAACAAGGTTAACGTTAACATAAAAAAAATGTAAAAAAAGAAAACTTAGTCAGCAGTTAGACTGTTCGCACATCGTACGAAAGACACAGTATTCACTGCAGACACGAAGAGAGAAGTATCTGCGGACAGGCCTCAAGTACGTACAAAGCATATATGTTTGCTTCAGGCATATGTGTGCTTTGAACATGTCTGCTGGCAGTTGTTGTATGGGTAATGTGAAAGGACCATCCTCCAAGAAACGAACACGCCTTCATTTAATTAATTAATTTATTTACATATTAAGGGCCCATGAAGGGCGATACATAAGAGGGGGGTGGTGGTGGATAATATTTAAGATTCATACAATACAGAAACGAAAATACATAAAAAACACAAAAGGAAACTAAAAACTTAGCACGCTTAACGCACTCAGGACTGGTCATAATTACACAAATGATAAAACTAATACGAAGAAAAATGAAGTTTACTACGAGATAGAAAATTATTCGAGTCCAGAGTGGTGACAATGGATGATGGGAGGTTGTTCCAGTCACTGCATGATGGCCTGAGGAAGGAGCGATCGATTAAATCCGTTGGTAGAGCCTGAAATCACGCTTGATGGCACGTGTGTTGTTAAGGCGCGAAGATGCTCGGTCGGGGGTGAGAGCAAATAATTTTTAAGGTCTTAAATGTGGTAGTAGATATTATGAAGAAGGCAGAGCTGAGAGACTTTCCTTCGGAGCTCCAAAGCGGAAACAATGAATGAAGGATCAGAGGTAGACAACATGAATAGGGCAGCCCCGTTTTGTACTGCTTCGAGATTGTTAATTTGGTAAGTTTGATGGGGATTCCAGATGGTAGAGGCATATTCTAATTTAGGTCTGACGTACGTGTTGTACGCCATCTTGCGGAAAAGGGGAGGTGCAGATCGTAGGTTACATATTATTAGTTCAAGGGTTCTTGATGAGTCAGCCGTGATGGCTTCAATGTGATTATTCCAGGAAAGGTCCGGTGTTAGTCTTACACCAAGATATTTATACATAGTAACAGTCTCAATTAAATCGGAGTCCAGGAAGTATTGATAGGACAGTAGAGATTTTTTTCTATTGAAGCGAATTTGTTGGCATTTAGAGTTGTTTGAAGACATCAAGCAGTCATTCCACCATTTGTTAATTTTAATTAGGTCACTTTGAAGTCGGTTGTTATCTTGAACACATGTTGCTTTCTTATAGACGACGCAGTCATGTGCAAAAAGACGTATTTTGGAGTAAATAGTGCTGGGAGGTCGTTTATATTAAAAACAATAGGGGCCCTAAAACGGACCGCTGCGGAACCTTAGGAGACACGTTTGTTGAGGAGATTCTTGGTCATTAATGAACGTTAGCTGTACGCGAGACGAGAGAAAATCACGTACCCATACAAATGTGAGTGGCTCAAGGCGAAGAGATGACAACTTGGAGAGCAGGCGTTGATGAGGGACACGGTCAAATGCTTTTGAGTGATCAAGCGAAACAGCGTCAGTCTGAGTAACACATTCAAGGTTAGTGTGCAGGTCATGAATAAAATCACAAAGCTGGGTCTGGCAGGAAAGTCCCTTTTGAAATCCGCGCCGATGTTTAAAGAAAAAAGAATTACTTGTAAGTTCAGTCATTATGTGATAATAAAGTATATGCTCTGGTAGTTTTCAAGAGATAGAGGTTAAAGCGATTGGATGACAATTGGACACAGAAGAGCGACTACCCTGCTTAAAAACTGAGGTGATTCTGCCTATCTTCCTGTAGGAGGGAAGGCAGCATTCTGATAGTTTTTGGGTAAAGATCAGCTTTAAAAACTCGCCAGAAATTATCCTAGTATTTTTTAAGATATTAGAGTTGATATTATCGGGACCAGCAGATGATGTAAGTTTTAGTTTATCAATGAGATGTTTTATTCCGCCAGAGTTAATAGTGATAGGAATTGCATGGGCTCATAGAGGTTATCGGGAAGGATAAGAACCAAAAACTCGTTTGTAAAAACTGAAAAAAAAAAGTAATTAAAAACTCTATGGCAGTCGCTCTCCAGGATGGGTCACCATTAACGTCTGTAAAATGAAGGATAGGGTTGCTACTTTTCGGCAAGACTAAGTTCCAAAACTTCCTTGGATTACTACGAACTACGTTAGGTTAATCGGGGAAACAAAACTTTTTTTAGATAGTCGGAGGCTACTGGTGTACATCTTTAGGGCAGAGTTAAAAGCATCCCAAGCTTGCGTGGTGTTCGTACGTTTCGCTTTTGCGAAAAGTCTTTTCTTCCTGTTACTTAATGACAACCAAGTTTTTGTAAACCATGGGTTTGTTTCATCAAAGCGTATAAAAATGGTTGGAACAATCATGTGAACAAGTATATTAATTTTAGTTCTGAATAACGCCCAGTTCTTTTTTAATCATCTACAATAAAAATTAGACATGAAATGGTCATAGAAAATTGTCAACTCACGGTTAATTGCTGCGTAGTCAGCCTTGTTGTAGTCGTGAATGATTTTTTGAAATGGGAAGCTTCATGAGAACGGGGAGTGCCAAGTCGATGTGCAGAACTTTCTGATCACTGAGCCCATCGCAGTAGTAAATAGAGTTAACAAGGTCTGATGACGTAGTTAAAATCAAGTCGAGAATGTTGTCTGAACGTGTTGGTTTATCAACTAACTGCGTAAAGTTTCAAGTGAGGCATATATCTAAGAATAATTTTGACGCGACGGAGCCTCCGGGTAAAAGATTAGACCAGGTTATGGAAAGAAAATTAAATTCGCCAAAAAGAAGCAAGCCAGCCTTCGGGAAACGATTCTTTATGTCCAGAGGGAGAAAGCACAGTTCAGTATGAAAGGATGAAGCACAATCGGGTGGCCTACAACATACATCAAGAGTGACTTTGCTAGACAGTGTACAAATGCAAATACACATAAATCCTAAGCCATTCTTCATTAAGCAAATAAAAAAAAATTTATTTTTATTGCATTTAGCACATCGCCGCCTCTTTGGATGGGCCGGTCGTGCAGGAAAACTTCATAACATAGATGCACAATGAAAAGTTCTTTATCTTCAATATCAGGTTTTAACCAAGTTTCGATGAGAATGACTTTGTCAGACAAATTGTCCTCATGAACACTATACAGCTCGTTTCGTTTTGGTATGATGCTGCGAATATCTAAACAAATACAGAAAATGTACTATTTTTATCACGCGTTATGAGGGAAAGATGACAATGCTTTGTTTGTTTTACATTTACCTAGTTATGTGAGCTCTACTTCAGACTGCGACTCCAAGTTAAAGACAACACATTTGTTACTGGTGTGCAATTTGTTAAAACGAACTTTAAACGACACGTTTAGACTCCTTCTGTACTCATAAAGCTTACTGCGGACAAAGTGTACGGACTCAGAAAAATCTTCGCGAACGGCGAAAGAGGTGTTTCAGTATGAATCCGGCGGCCAAGATGCCTCTTTGTCTTTGAATTGGATAAACTTCACGATGATTGGTCTATTTTTATCGGGTCGAATTTTCCCTAAGCGGTGCTACCTTTCTAGATTAGAGGTATCCAGCTGTACGCCTAGATTGTTTGCGCAGAACTCGACAATTGTTCTTTCCGATTGGCTCCATGTTTCCACTTGGTCATCCACGCAGCCGTAAAATAACACATTTGAATTCCGAAGCCTGTTTTTATTCGCACTGTTTCTGCTCGACGGACATGCTAAGGACGGATGGAATCCCAGAGGTAGCGCTCGTCGCATCTAGCCTTGTTTGCACTGGAGATAACTGTAGTGTTTGAAGGGCTATACTGCATTAGGATATATGCGCAGGAAGGCTTACGGTACGACGACGATGGCGTGGAGGGCAGCGGCGGCCCGCGGCCAAGCGGACACGCCGAAGGAAAAAGGACACGTCCAGCCCCGACGAACGCTGCTACACTTCTTCTTTATTCACGCGCACAAGGGCGATTAAAGGAAAAGGGGCACCCTGGTGGCGATTCATAAACTCAATTACAACATTTCTCCCTTCATAAAATAAAGCAAAAAGAGAGCAAAAAGAAACGAAATCTATCAGGCTACGAAAGGTAT